GGAACTTCAATAACTCTGGATAAAGTTTGCGAAGTTTAGATATTTAATGTTCTAAAAAGAACAAATAAATTGTAATTCAATAAATTAGTGAATATTCAGACTAATGAATACATTAACAAATTTAATTAGAATTAATTTGTTGGTTATTTTACAGCCGAAAATCTCTACGAAAAATTAGCTTGCGAGCTTAAAAGCATGAAATATTCAACATGTTCTGTATTAAATTTTAGGTGAAATAAAATTCAAATTACCCTTGAACCATAATCACTTTAAAATACTGCAAAAGCATGCCACAAAAGATGCCCCAAAAAATGTCTATCTCTACTCCAACTCCACTCGATAATCTCTTTAGAAAGAGCACTTACTCTGACACATAATTACGCCATGATTAGATCCGATTATGGTTAATCTTTTTGAGTATTTCTTTATTTGCTGCTCTGTTTCCATTGTAAAATCTCGGCACGCAATAGGAATAAAAGGAGCATTTACGAGTGCGTGATTCCTATATTAATGCAGTCCGGACGGGAACGGGGACTCACTCCGTGGCAGAAGTGTTTGCGTGGCATGCGAGAAGACCACAAAATTGGCCAGACAAAAGACGAATCAGCCGTTGTTGCAAAGCCGTTCACTCTGACAAATGTCATAAAATTTGTTCAACGATTTATTTCTTGTTTCCTTCTCTGCCTGTTCTTAGTTAAATATGATTTTTGTCTCCCTCTTTATTTTTTTTTATTATAATTTGTCATATTTTGTCATTTAGCATTATAGTTTGCCATTCCATTCCCCCGAGGGCCAACATGGGTTCTTCGGAGATGGGTTTGTGTATGGGTATGGGCATGGGTTCTTGGACAGCGTGACTGGTCTCTAACTCTAGCGGGACACAGTTTTCGCATGGCATTTTCCTACTCATATCTCATTTGGTTTTTGGTTTGCAGAATGGTATGGGCGATGGATGTGTGGTGTGGTATGGTGCTTTTTGGACCGCTCTAATGTCGGCGCCTATGGGCACACACACACACACGCACACACACATGCTCACTCGTCCGTCCTTCTGTATGTCTGTCTGTATGTCTGTCTGATCTGCTTGACAACAGTGGAATACGAGCAGAACGGAAATGCTGCTGTTGCCCCTGCCTAACCAATGCCGAACCACCCCAAAAGAATGGGAACGGACCGAAAAAATGTTTGGTATGGCTAGGGGAATCCCCAAACAATGAGCCTGGGCCAAGTCCATGCCAGAACGGACATGCCAGCAGCAACAACAATGTGCCCAGCAAAATTTCAGTGTCCGCTGCCAAGAAAAAATACAAAAAAAAAAAAATGAGAGGGGAAGCAAACAATCCCCAGTGAGGCAGCAGCGGAAGAGACTTGACAACATACGCAACATGGGCGAAAAATGAGTGGCGACGCCGACGAGAACGACGACGACGGCGCACATGGCGTATGAGTGACGAAACGAGGCAGAAAGAAAACTCCAGACTCCCAGAACCACCACAGACTCCAGTTCAAAAAGGAGGGACCCAAAACTGAGCTGGGGCACACGCCCCGCACAGATTTGATAGTTTTTATCGATTTAAGTGGATTTTGGCCTCACACAAAACGGAGCGCTCCGAAAGTGGGCGAACGGGGAGATAGAGCTGCCAGAGGCGCTCACAGATATGGTTTGAGCGGGGCGAAATGGGGTGGTGCAGAGCCCGAGGCAGATTCAGATATATAGACAGACAGCCTTGATTTTTGGCAAACGTCGCGGCCCCAAACAAATAAACATAAAACAAGCAAAAATGTGCTCTTTCGTTAATTTCTGTAAGACGAACCAAGGGAATACCCTTGCTTGGGATATTAGCGGTGGATCCGTAACATTAGGGATCTAAAAGAGGCTTGAACTATTTCTAATTAAGAATTGTAATTATGTTATTGCTCTGGCTGGGATAAGCTATAGATTGATATAGATTTCAATATTATTCTTCAATCAAAGCACAACTGATAAACCACAACCAAGGACCCCTTTCTACGGGAAGGGCACACAACCGTCAGTGTAGTTCATTTCAGTGCTTCTGTGCTCTGTGCGCGAGTGTTTGGCGCGTGTGGCAATGTGCGTTGTCTGCGTCTTGGCAGCCGGCGTAGATAAGCGTTCCTACACCCAAAAACCCACACGCAACAACAACAAAAAAAAAAGAGTGTGGTGTGTGGCAAGCATTAGAGCTGCGTTAGAGCTGCTACTGGCTGTGCTACTGCTGTCCTCTGACAACAGAGATCAAAACTCAAAGTTTTGCGTATAAAGCATAAAGATTCGACCATGAATTGTTCAACTTTTTTTTTTTTGTTTTACTCCCAGCATCTTTACCATTTTTCTTCATTTCTTACGATTGTGGCAGGAAGTCTATGCGTGTGCCACGCCCACCCCACGCTACGAGTATGTCCCCTCCCCCCCATTTAGCCCACCCTCTTTATCAACACTTCTGCGGCGACCCCAAGCAAATGCGTAAAAATTATGCCACAGCTTGAACGGCGAGGCAGAGAGAAAAACAAAAAAAAAAACGCACAAAAAAGAAATGGGGAAACAAAATGCGGAACTAGCGGAACTACGGATGTTGGGAAACCCAAAAGCAAGAGAGGAAGAAAAGCAACGCAAAGCAAACCAAAGCCAAATACTGGACAACCAATTTACTTTTATTTTATAGATGCCTGCTTGAGGTTTTTACTAGGGGTTATCCTTTACAGGGAGATACATTCTTTACCCTCTCTCATTTCTTTTTTTTTTGTTTGGTGTAGAGGCGTTAAATATTTCCCAGATATGTGCATAATTTATGCCTACAAGGCAGAGCCAAGAAAAAAAACTACAGAAATAATAAAATGGAGATAAAAAATGTATTTATTTTGCGCATATTTACGCATGGGCCAACCGAAACTACTACTACTACTACTACTATTATTACCAGCTGCCCGACTCCCCTCCGTTCCGTTTCGTACGATTTTGTATAGAAAAAGTGCCCCAGCTAAATGCGCATAAATATTAAATGAGCTGGTAGATTGTATTGTGTAGCTGGTAGATGCTAGCAGAGAGTGTATCAATTGTTCCTCCTCTTTTGCAGCCCCTACTCTTGTTGCTGTTGCCGAAGCCTTAGACTGGAAGATGATGATTTAGTTTTCAGCACTCTATTGCAATAAATTCCATTTGCCAGGCCATTTCCAACTGGTTTTGTCAGGGCGACTCTTGTCTGTCTGCCTGCCTGCGTTTGGTTACTCTCTCTCTCTCTCTCTCTCTCTCTCTCTCCGCCAGCTTTATATGCCCTCGTACATATATAGATATCCCTCCTAACTGCTTGGCACTCAACATTATAAATTGCCGCATGAGTGGGGCGGTGGGGATAACTGGTAGCAGGGACTGGTAGCAGTCCAAAGCCATTGCAGCCAAACAAAAACTTATTATTTATATTGTATATGTTTGTCCGTTTTGTGGGTCTGTATCGTATACAAAAGTACTAGAGGGATTGCAGAGAGAGCTGCGCTCCACTCTAATAAATAATTATCGTATTGTTTAAGTCTCGAATGGAATGCCATAAATCATGTCTTGGCCACTAGACGTCGCGAGATATTTGACTCTGAATTATTATCATCACAGTCCCATCAGACTGATAAGAACTATGGCGACAGTGTGCAACAAAGAGAGTGAGGGCAAGGGCGAGACCGAAATGGTATGGAACTGGACTGGGAGACTGTTGGTGGTACGTACATATACATATATCCCCAAGTAACTCGGCTCCTGTTATAGCCATGCCAGTGAAACTTAGATTTATTTTTTTTTTTTTCATATTATTTAAACTATTTTTTCTTATATAATAATTTCCCAGACATACCAGAATAAAACAGATGCACCTACTTATGTATTTTCAAAGCTTAAATGAGCATCTCTTAGCCTTAAACTTAAAGGCTTAAAGGCAATCCTTTACGTTATAACTCAGCATCTCTATTGAAATCTAAGCTCAAGCTCAAGTTTTCTCTAAGATAAACAAAATCTCTCGAAAACTTGAAGCTCATTCCGTTTACCACACTTGAAACCATTTTCTACCCATTTCATAGGCAATTTATTCAAAATTTATACAGAAAACTCTGGGATTTGCTTCACTTAAATCTCATATGAATATCTAATCTGTTTGTCTTAAATCCACTCGGCTCGCACCCCACCCAAAAAAACGTTAAGCAGGCAAAGAGCTAGCAAACAAGTTGATATGCCTGCCTGCCTGTCTGCCTGCCTGCCTGGCCCTGCCTGGCCACTTGGGGTCTAAACCCCACTCAGAGGCCAACAAAGTAAGCGGCACTTGTTACCAACACGCGCGCGCTGCTCCGTCTTTACCAGCAAAATTGCGTTTTGGCCACAAACCGTTTGCCCTTTGGCTTATGGCCTCCGGCACGGGGCTGAGGCCCACAAAACCTAAAGATAGACGACGACGAGTAGGCAGCGGAGGAGAATATTATGGCACCCCAAAGTAAACTAAACGCGTCAAAATGAGCAAAAACGAAGCTCAAACTTCTGCGTAGTGCACAAAAAAAAATATTCAAATAAACTACGCCACATACCACCACGCCCAGCACCCCCAAAAAGCAAAAAAGAAATAATTTAAATCAGCCCCCAAACACGGGGGAATAGTAAACTAAACTAGCAGGCTGCGGTAGGCTTAAAGGAATGTTTGTGTTTGTTTGTATGGGGTGGGGGTGGGGGTGGGAGGTTAAATGTGAAATGCTTTTAAGCGAAATCCTGCAGCAGCAGCCGCATCATCATCATCATCATCATCATCATACGAATACGAATACTCATAGTGAACTAGGCCCAAAATGAAAAGCAGAGCAGACTTTGCCGCAACTTTGCTGCAATGTTGCGGCTTGCCAGGGCAGCCCACAGGGGAGGCACTAAGCGTAGGTGGACCGACAGCCATGGCTACTTGGTTGAATGAACGATGCGGCGATGCACCCCGAAAGAGCAATAATTAGTGCGATGCACATGCATTTATGGACACTTTATTTTGGCCTGTCAAAAACGATAAACCACTAAATAGAATTTTAAATTAGAATTTTTTGGCTCTCAAGGTCTTGTTATAAGATTTACTTTTGGATCGAAATTTGGTTCGCTTGAAAATTTTTCAGTTGTTTGCCTCTGATGGTTAAAATCGTATATTAAACGAGCCGTTTGCAGCCTTTTTCCTCGCTCGAATCTCATCTTCAACGGTCCAGCTCCGATCGCATCTCTCCCGATAAAAAATTCCTTGGCCTGAGCCGGCCTGTTGCCTTGAAAAAGCTCGCTCCGCGGGCTTGACTCTCTTTTGCTCGTAGTCTTTCTCCAGGTATGGGTGTCCTCGCTTCAGTATCTCATTCGGCTGCACGTTTTCGTTTCTGGTATTCACCTGTTTTCTTCTGCCAGCTTTCTCCATCGTTTGATCCTTTGGCTTAACAATTCTTTGCTTCGAGCCGCTCTCCACACATTGTTCCTTTTGGTAGCTTTCTTTGTTGGAATTTATGAACCTGACTCTCTTTTTCCGTTCAACTTTCGTCACGTCATCGGTTGTAAGGATAGAAGATTTGGTCGTTGGTGGTTGACTCAGTCGTTTCTCCGCGGATGCGTGTCGTCGCTTGAGCATTTCACATAACAGTTTGTTTTCATCCACTTGAATCTTCGCATCCACAGGATTGCATCTTTTTTGCATCAGCATTGAATCGCTTTCGTGGGGCTTTTTGTGAGCCATTGTAATTCTCATAAGAAGGGATTTTAGCTTATTAAACTTTGCGGCATGAATCGCTTCCCTGATTGGCGCATCTAAGCAGTCATCGCTAGGCGAATCCCTCATGTACGGGTTCATCCGCCTGATTACTTCTTTCTCATATTCAATGGCCAGCAGCCGACTGCGACCTGACATGATCCTGCTGCTATCCGTTGAGCTAGTGCCACGCACGGCATTTCCTTTATTGTATTTTAAATAGTCCTCATCCCTGGTCTGGTTGTAGCGCTGCAGCATGTCATTCCTGTTGTCTCCAACGACGGATCGAGTCATCTGCTGTTGTATGCCGTATTGAGAGACACAGCGCCAGTCCTCTGCTGAATTCTGGATGGGTCTCTGCAGCAACATAGGTATCTGTCCACCCTCCACTCGTCGCTTTTCGCACGGAGTTATTCTCGATCTGGGAGTGTTCTGTCGATCCAACAAACTAATGTTGTATTTTCCCTGGCACACTGCTCCGTAGAACTCGGAAAGTGTTTTCATTTGTAGATTCTGGATTTGCCTGAGACTAAGTGATCGCTCGGGGCAAATCGGAGCAGTTTGGCTCCGGGAATCTTGGTATTCCTTTTCGCAGGATTCTTGAACCTCACTTTCCGATTTGCCATAGCCCGGCGTGGGTCTCAGACTCTTGGGCAGAGGGCCCGAATTGCCGGGTCCACTGCAACAGCATATGGCCGGTGCGTAACCGTAAGGCATGTCCACCGAATCCAATGAATTTTCCGATGAAGATCTACGCATTCCCAGTCTTCTAAGTCCGGCCCGAATATCTGAAGAGGCCGCCACCTTGCGGGGCGTGTTATAGGCAATGCCATGATTCGCATTGGCGAACACTCCCATGCCGTTGGTGCAGTACATCACCGGACTGTGTCCGCATCGGGCCCTTGGTCTCATCATACGACACGGCAGGCACAGGAAGCGCTGCATCATAGCGAGCAACAGCAGGAATGCCCTCGCCGGCATGGGCTTCCGCAGGTCACCGTTCTCATCGAAGATGCCGTAGTACAGCTCAAAGGTATCGGACATGACGAAGGGCACTTTGAGCGTATTCCAACCCATGGTCAATGGGTTCAGTATGCGGCTGAACAGGTTTAGGGTGAGTTGGTAGAGGAAGGTGCACACATTCGTCGCTGACTGGTCGACGGCGTTGGCCAGCACCCGGATGAGGCCACTGTTGCGGTTCCACCACTGCTCCTGGGCCGATTGGCAGGCGCAGTTCCCAACTGGATCCATTCGTGGATACCAGGAAATACAGCTGGTTGGATCCGAGCGTCGCTGACTGGCGCGACAACACGATCGAGACATGTTTTTGGGCTGCCACAAAAAATATCCAAAAGGAGAAGGTGAAAAAAGTTACAATTTTGTTGAGGCTTTATTTTTGTGTGCCACAAAATTTTGGTTTAGTCTCGACTGAGGCTCTAAACAAACTGACTTCAAACGAAAGAATGAAAGAAATCTATTTCTTGGGTTTCTTGGGTACCCCCCTGAGCATAGAATTGATGGAACTTCGAGCCCTTGCGGGAGAATTCGGCAGACTAAACGTACTGTGTATGGACCATCGTACACGCTCCTTTTCGATGGCCTTCTGTATGGATTCACGCCTATAGCGTTTGATCTCTGCGAAGCCCACCTGACCATCGGGCAGCAAACGGTTCTGGCTTGGATGGCGGCGAATCCACGTCCACTCCTTCTTCGAATCGAATGGCTCGTGGTACAACACGGGCATCGTGTCGCCATAGTATTTTCTTGGCCGTCGGGGCGCAGCGGGTGGCTCAACCTTTTCCGTCTCATCGCTCACGGTGGTCGCGTAAAACTTTGAGAGTTCAGCGAACGTCTCATTGCGGCGAGACTTTTCATAATTTACGTGTTTTTTGTCCTGCTTTAAATCGACCTGGCCCAGGGCCGTGATGACTTTCTGAGGATCATTGTCCAGGCCTCGCTTCTCGTTCAGGTCTTTAATGAGAAATCTCAGATGCTTGGCCTGCTCGGAGCGCAGAGTGCCGAGGTGATTGCAGTGACTGCCCATCCCACGACGTCGTCCCTTTTCGTCCATCAACCCCTGCGAGTCGATCGAGACATCATCCATTTCCTTACCACCCGGCACCTTATACCGCTGTTGCATCAACATTTGTACATGTCCTTTAAACTGTCCATTTGATTCTTGTTGTTCCAATCTTTCAATGGGTTCATTTGTTTTTTTGCCAGTCTTTTGGTTTTTTTCAATTTTTGGACGATCCGTTCGGATGTCTTTGGATTGAGCGCCTGGTCCATTGGCTTTTTTAGCATTAGCATTAGGACTCATTCCGTAACATCTTTCCGCAATCATAGGTCTCAATATTTGGTAGCCAATAATGGGCGTTCGTTTACCTTTTTTGAGAATGGAATCGAAAGGCAATGAGACACATCCAGAAGTTTCACCCTTCAGAAAATTCTGCAATATTTCCAGAAGTTTAAACATACTTCTAGGATGGGTGGGATTCTTTAGATTTCCGTTCTCATCGAAGATGCCCATGTAGCGTTCACACATATACGGATGACAGTGGGGCACGTGACAGGCATTGTAGCCACAGCGCTTGGGATGGAGCAGCCGATTGTAGTTCTGCAATGTCAGGTCAAACAGAAAGCCGGCGACTTTCATGGGGCAGCCCTCAAGTAGCTTCGCCAGCTGCTGTATAACCACATCGTTGCGATGACTCCAGTAATGCCACCGACAGTCCTCGGCGGTGCGAGGCAATCCCCTCCGCTGCAGGTCATCGCACATCCGCGGATCTGGTGGTGGGCATTTTGGCTTGAGCCATGGAAAGCACGGAAAGATTTTGTCATTGTTGTCGCTGCAATTCAGTCGGCGATGGCTGTGCCACATCCCTCGTCAGATACATGAAATTTTGATTTTTTCCAAGAGACATTGAAGTGAAATTCAAAGCTAATCAAGCCGGAAAAGAAATCGATAGGTGTATAAAAACCCTCGTAAGATTCACACAAAAATGTGCCACAAGTGCAATAATTTTTGCACCAAAACCCAAACTTAAACCATTAATTTGCTTAAACAAAAAATAAATCCTACACCTACAATCGATACTCGTGGCATAATCTGTTTGTAGCGAGCCACTATAGATTTTATGGCCACTTTAAAGCCCTTTCCGTGGATGGGTTATTGGCATGTGTAAATATCCGAGAGCATGTCGATATATCAATGCCATTTGTTGGGGCATTGTGCTGACTGACACGAAAATTAAATAATAGTTTTTTGTCTTTCTTTCCCAGCTCACGAAACGTGTTCGCGACGTAAAAGTAAATTTGATTATGTTAATTTTCTCGTTCTTTTATTTTTATCTCTGCTTCTTTATAGCTCTCTCCCTCTTTTGGGGGCACGCCCTGAAAACTGAGAATGAAATTAGGTAAAGGTGAAGAAACGACAACGACAACGACAACGAGGTAAAGCGATATGAATGATGATTGAGAGGTGTGTGTGTGTGTGTGTGTGTTTGTGGCAAGTCAATACCCGCAGCGGCTATCCCACTTGCTCTTCCATCCGAAGATCTTGTGGGATTTTGGGGGCCTAAGCAAACACGCAACTCGAAATGGGAATGGGACTGGGGGGAATGTTGCGATGTGGGGTTCACTGACCTCAGACACAGAGGCTTGGACAACAGTTGGCCAAAAATAAAAGAGTTCCAGCCGGAAATGATCAACAGTTATGCTGCACTGCGAGTACGATTGTGGCAAGGAATGTATCTGTATCTGTACCTCGCTTTTCGTAGCACAACTAAATCCAAAATATTCTCAAAGCTCGTCTCAAACAGACCGTAAAATTTATAATTACAAAATTGCATGTTCTTTGTTTCTGTTATCATGAGCAAAAACAATAAACTTGATGGGTCGTCTCTCCCTCTGAATCTCAGCGCAGATAAAAGCTTACACGAAAGCCTCAACAACACCCAACCAACGTATTGTAAAACAACAACAACAAAAACTACAACAACAACTACAACAACAATCAACGGTCAGTCATTGGGGAATGTTTGGGCAATTGAGTTAAATTTATTGGATGTGGCCTGTGCTGTGCTGTGCCGTGAGCGGGGATTTCGTTTGTCTACTAAGCCTCTTATGTGCAAATTACTCCGGTATGTGGGAGTCCCCCCTGTATCTATAAAAAACAAGGGAATCCTACCAAGCGAACAAGTGAAAATATTAAGGTAAAAATGGGTCGCCAATTGTGAATGTCGAACCTAGTGTTCGATTGAATTTAAATTAAAAATTCAGAAGGTAATATTAATGATGTTCGACAAACACTAAGCCCGCTGTAAAATGAATGTTCAAAGTTTACACGTTTTCTCGGAACTGATACTTGAACCCAGTCTCAGCCGCTGATTCGAATTGCAAATATATTTTCTAAGAAAAAAACCCCATTAAACAGCCGAGTTTTAACGTTTTTGGATTGGTTTCATTATGTCATATATTATAGCTGGAATATATACTTACAAAGATGAAAAAATTTGCAGAAAAAGTCTTAACTGTAATCCGTCTCAGCAAATTGTATTTAAATTGTATTTCACACTTGAATAGTTGAAAATTTGAATTTACTTTTTCCAGTAATTCGAATTTAATTTTATATCAATTTATCTAATTTGATTTAGAAAGTTTTTGTTTTTATGATTTTGTTTTAGCAAAATGGTTTTTTTTTGTAGCAAAAGTCCGTTGACCTTTTTAAGTTTTTTATATTCTTATTTAAATTAAAATTGCACAAAATTTTAAATTTTTTATTATAGCAATTTTTTGTTTAAATGCTTATTAAGTTTATAATATATTTTTATTTTTCGTTTTCTTTTTTGTGTGGCGCTTAATTGCTTAACGCTGTAGAATATAAAAGTTAATTTGATTTTATCTTTTTTTTTATACTTTTGTTTTTATAAGCAAAACAATGAACACAGCGTCACAAAAAATGTTTCGTTGATTTTTTGTAGTGGATTTTTGTTTGTTTATTGCACTTGGATCAAAAGTTAAACAAGTTTTAGTTGGAATGGTTTAGTGTTCGATTTGGTATTGCACTGTAGCCCACAGACTGAAATATAAATGATAAATACAAATATAAGAAATGCCGATGCTTGATCCGCACCCAAATTGAGGTAACTTTGAATCAATGATAAAATTTCTATTGTTTATAATTAAGTTCTTTGGCAGCAAGTATATTATATGGGAGTGTTTGTGTTTGGCTCTTGTATCTTTGTATGTACTAGCACTTGTATATGTTTTTCCCTTTCGTATTCTCTCATTCTCTCATTTCTTTTTGCTATATCTATTGATAGAAAGCTTCATTTATGCACGGCTGGCTGTCGACTCAATAAATTCTAAAAACTTATGGCGCTTCCTCCATCCACCGCCCTTCTTTATCTAAAGGAAAAACTTTTGCTTCAAGTGTACGTATATTTTGCTCGTGGGGTCGGAAAATGTCCATGTTAATTAGCTGACAGTTGGGGAGAGTGGAGTGCCCTGAACCTTGGATGCTTTTTCGGGGTACTGTTTAATCAAAGTTTTTCAGCCTTGGCAGAAAGTTTTCTTAGCCGATTGATGGCTCGCTTACTTAAAGTATCAACCAGATAAAACGTAAAATACGTTGATCTACGTTGGTTAAAGTTTTCCGCTTCAGATAAATAAATGCTGACTGTGATTAGGTTAGGTCAGTGAGGGAACTGAAATCGCTGGCGATACGTTTCGGACTCATTCAACTGCAAGGAAAGGGCAATTAAAGTTGAAGTTTATGGTCATTTATTGGTGAGTTATTACCGATAAGTCCTCGTAATTCATGAGATCAAAGTTCAAGTTTGGATAGCAAGGTTTGGTGCCATTTAGATAATGGAATTGTAATTGTATGGGATCTTTTTTATAGAATCATTCCAAACATTCGTGTTGGAAGTTTATTTATCGAATTCAAGTCTAAACAAACGAACAAAAAATATCTAAAGAATCGCCACTTAAATCGTTTATATTTATTTACTGCAAAGTTGTATCAATTGTTTTATTTTGAGTAAAAAACAAACCAAACAAATTTACCAAACATTTTTTATACTTGGTTACGTATTGGTTTTTTTATCTCCTTTGTGGTTAAAGAATATTTGCAGTGTTTTAAAAATGTTTTAGTGGCTTTTTATGGTGCTTAAAGATTTTTATGTAGCCTCAATTTGGGATAGGATAAAAATTCAATAAACTAAATTTTACACATATTTTTGAGTTTTTGTATATTTCGGGCTAAGCCCTATTCAGTTCTCTCTATTTTTCACATATTTTTCTCTGTTTATGTTTTGTCACTGCTCTCTTTTTATGTTGTTCTTCCACGCTTCTTTTATGTTTTTCTTGTACTTTTCTTTTTGGGATTATTCTTGATTCTCTCACTCCCACACACAGTCAATTCACACACAGTTAGACAGAGACAATGCACAGTAAAATTCCGCTACACCGGAAATTACAATTGAAAAATGTGTATGGTGGATGGTTGGCCCGTTTTTATGTTGTTGCTTCCCATTCTGTTTTTTTTGTCACACGAAAATTGTTGTTATTATTTATGATTATTACGATTATTATGATGATGATTATTATGTAGTAGTAGTATTTTTTTTTTTTTATCCGAATTTCAGCACAAAAGAACAGGATGTCAGCCGAAAATAACAATACTCGTAAACAGTTATTATTCGAAATTTCGGTTTATATTTTCAAAGATATTTTTGCATTCAAGTGGATTTTATGGCTCTTTTTGCGCTGAGCTGAAGTGGGGGGTTTTTTTTTAAAGCCATGTTTTGTGTTCTACTTGATTTTACTGAGTTTTGTTCTTATTGTTATTTATTTTAATTTGATTTAACTTAGTTTTTGTGTGTGTCACTTTATTGAGTGGCATTTTGTGGTATTCTATTCATTATATATTCGCTTGAAATCTACCTGTTTTTTTGTGTGTTATTTTCTGATATTCTGATATTTGTTGCACTTTTTCCAACACTCACTTTTAATTGTTTAAACTTTTGGATACTCTCTCTCTATCTCTATCTCTTTGTGGAACAACTGTTGTTGTTTTTTGTGGCAGTGTGGCAGATTTTTTGTTGAAGGAAGAAAGAAGAAAACACACGACGCGCTGCCTTGCCCTGCCTGCCACCTCTCTGCACTCTCTCTGCGATACTGATATTCTGCTATCAACTGCGCTGCTGTCAAACCGTACAGTTTGAGAGTAAAATTCGGACTATTCGGTCTACGGCCGAGTGCCAGGTCTCAGAGTCGCATTCGAAGCGGCGGAAACGACACGAACAAACACGAACAACATAACGCTGCGAGAGTAGAGCATTGAGCACTGTTGGTCCGAAATGTATCTCTCTTGGGTCGCGTCTGGAACGGCGCACTGGAAGGGAGAAGGCCGCCACGACGCTAGGGGCCCCGCATATGCCATGTTTTACTACTACTACTACTACTCGTGAGAGAGAGAGAGAGAGTAATGTATCTGAGAGATACGCGCGAGAGGAGAACGTAGTAAAGGCCCACACACACACACACACGCACACACACTCTCGGCCAAAACCCGGCATTCGTTCGGTGCATTTTATGTGGGTAAAGAGAGTGTTTTCGAAAGCGAAGAGAAAACACTGTAAGAGAGACCTGCAGCAGGGCCGCTCTTTACTTTGGAAAATACATGGCAAACAGCACATCGTATTTGAGTTTTGAATTCTGTGTGAATTCCCCATTTTGGGGGCACTTTTCGCTGGAATTTCAATTTGGTTTCCATCAATGAGGGAGGCGCTTTGCCAATTATTATTGAGTGCTGCATTTTGGTAGCAGCCGAACACGCAAAAGTTCTTCTTCTTCATTTCTGTTGTTGTTATTCGACAAATCACGAATTCGCATGTAATTGGATATTCAAATCAGTTGCACAGAATTTACATGTGTAACTTTTAGAATTTAGACTTCTGTTTGGGCATAGATTATACATAGACACATATTGAAGTTTTTGAAATGAATTATGAAATTGAGTTGCCGCTGAAATATTTAATTAGACAAAAATTATGGTTATCATATGGAATCGTCTATGGCACATGGCACAGCTTTGAGGAATTCTCAGCACCCAATGAGCAACCTTTGGCTGGGCAATGAACTCAGATCCCAAGCGGACATCACAGTAGTGCCGCAGCATAATTGCTTTATTAATCGCATTTTTAGACCCCATGATAACCCCAGAGAGCACCGCGGCGGCCAAAGCAAACCAAACCAATAAGCGAAAGTAGCCGAAAATCTGTGACAGTACAAATGAGAGCATTGTCTGTATCAATTATGATTCTGCGGCTCAGCGCAGATAACAATTTGTACTTTGACAAAAGTCAGTGTCTTTTCGGGACAGATTTGTTGTTGGGACAGATCCATGCCAAAAATGAAAAGTAATCCGAGAGCACACAGCCCCTCTGGGGGTTAGAGTGAGCCACAAGCTCAGGCATTTATGTTCAGGCAATGTCTCGACCGACCCTAAGTCAGCGAGACAAGTCAAGTCCGTATCCGTTTTCCCCCCACACACACAGACACACAATACGAAACTAAGTCGGAAAAAAATAAATTGAAAACTTTTGAAAAAAATCCCAAAAAAAAAAAAGGTAGAAGAAGACGAGACGAGTCGAGTCGAGACGAAGAAGCAGCACAAGTAATAATAATGTGTGGCCTTTGAAATGCGAAACGTTTTATGGGTATTTTTATACCCGGTACTTGTAGAGTAGAACGGGGTTTGTTGTGTTTCTGTAGAGGTAGCTAACGGGCTGAAAATGTTTATATTCTTGTTGGGAACCAACAAGCTACATCCAACAGCGTAAATCTATACCGGAGTTCGTTTGTACCCCTTGTGGATACTTTTACAATCAATGTTACCCCCCAAATAAGTCTCTGTAAAGGGTATCTCCATGGTTGGTTTAGCCATCGTAGTGGCTTTACTTGTTTCGTGTTAGATTCTTTTTGTGCAATCTTCTTTTATTTTGAGTGAGTAAAACACAAAAGACATAAGCTAAAATGCAAACTAAGTAAAATTGTGTTAGGTCGCATCATCATCGCCATCTGCATGATGATGATGAGGATGTTGCTGGGAGTCGCTTGGGGCACTGGCGGGATGGGAGAATGGGAGGGTGGCAACACTCTAATAAAATTTACGACAATGCGAATGGCAACGGCGACGGCAAACTGAGAGTGAGACTCTAGACTGGGGACTGGTACTGGGTACTAGGTACTGAGACTAAAACTCCGGACCAAGAGTCAGTCGTAAGCCCTGCAGTCAACTAACCAAAACTATCAAAAGACGGCCCAAAAACGTATCTCTCTCTCTCTTTTTTCGCAGTGTGTCTCTCTCTCTGTCTTTCTGTCTCTTTCTGGGCATTGCATGCCACAACTCTCAGGCGCTGCCACTACCTCTGACTCTGCCCCTGCCCCTGCCCCTGCCCATGCCTCTGGCCACTGCCTCTCTCTCTCTCTCTCTCTCTGTCTCTCTGTATGGCTCCGTTTCCCTCTCCATATCTGTGGCATGCTCTTTGTCTGGTTTGGTGTGGGAAAGAATGCAGTGAAGGGAATTTCCAAGTCAAGACTTGGCAAGCCATGGCCGTAATGTGTAATGTATCTCTTGGATACATTTTTAAATTGTATGCCATACGCTGTTTTGGAACGTTGACAATGTATCTGTAACTGTGTAGCTGTAGCTGTGGCTGTATCTGTGCATTTGTAACAGCTAGCAGTGCATCTGTGTGACCGTAGCTGTAGCTGTAGCTCTCGTTCTGCATCTGTATCTGTGCGCCTCAGCCAAAAGGCCAACAACATTTGCATTGGCCATTGCCAATTAATCAACCCCAAAAAAAAAGGCAACAACAAACAGAAAAAAAACGAGTAACAGAAACAGAAACCTGCAATTGATTTCAATATTTCATCAGCATTGTATCTTACACCGAAAAAAGAGTATCTGTGTCTGTGAAGTGCAAACTATGGCTGTGTCTGTGCCATTTTATCGTTGCGTAAATCAATATATAGTATTCCATTTTTGTTGCTTTTTGTTTCTTTTGGTGTATTTTTGGGCGGGGGTTACTACGCCCGCGTTCAATTGCATTTCGAGGGCCAGACCAAATGGCCCAAAAAATGTATCTGAGCAGCGGCTAGCATATAGATGTAGATGTATCTTTGTCTGCTGCCGCTTTGCACGAATGCATACGAGTATCTTTCGCTGTCCCCTGGCCTCTGGCCCCTGGCCGTGTGTCTGTGTGTTTACCTTTCCCTTGTTGCATGCTTCTTGTTGCACTTTTCGATACGATTCGTTTCCCTTTTTGTCTTTCGATTCTCTGTCGCTGTCGCTGTCTCTGCCTGTGTCGGGCTATGTGGGCTAGGTCAGTTCAGAGTTCACGTGTTTCCCCCGCCCACCCATCTATTGATTGAATCGCCATCGGAATTTTCGGTCATTTTTGGTTCAACGCCAAAGCAACCTGTTCTCTGCCAAGCTTATAGATACAATCACACTGGTGGGAGATACAATCACTGGTGGGAGATACAATCACTGGTGGGAGATACGGATACGAGAGAGATTGCGACTGAGAAGTCTCTTATCTCTTCCCTTTGAATTTTTGTTTTTTTTGATCAGCAAATCCAACATGTGCTGCTAGAAATGGGAATGCTTCAAGTTGGTTTATTTATTTGCTCCAGGAATGCACGAATGTTAGATCATAGATCATAGAGAAAAGAGGAGTAAGCCTCAGTTGTTGATTGTAAAATTCCATAAAAGTTCTTTTGCACCCTAACATTTCCCTGCACCTTTAAACACTTTAAGAGTAAGTATTCGTCTATCTGCCATCCTTTTAGATATTGTAATTTCAAAATTGGAATTTTTAAACGAAATTTCCATTAAATTACGGGCAGAAACATTTCCATAAAACATATTGACATGTGCAGCACTTTGCCCCCAAAAGATGAAGGAGCAGACTCAATAAAAAAGTTATGTAAATGGTAAATAAAACCACACGCACACACACACACACACCACACATACTCGCCACCTCCCGTAAACCATTGCCACCCACAAATTCAGGTCAGGCCGACAACAGATGGCGCTGCATGATATATATATATGTACATATACGAATATATGTATATGTATATATTTTTGCACAAGGCATACGCATAATTTCAATTGCATCAAATGTTATTTTTAACCAACACAATTTTGTAAAGCCACAAGGCAGGAGAGTGGATACGGAAGGAGGAGGCACACGAGGGAGTGGTGCTGCTGCTGCTGCTGATGGGTGGGTGTGTGTGTGTGTGTGTTGCCGCAACTCTACGTTGAATTGTTGGTCTGGGCAATAAATTTCAAATGCACAAAAAGAACCTAAAACTAAGAACTAAGCAGCAAGGAGCAATGGGCAAATGGTCTTGGTCTTGGGCTTGGGGTTCTGTGGCAGAGCTCATCTTACAGCTGCTGTGGAAGTTGCTCTACTGATACCCTGAATCAGGTAGATATATAAAGGTATATTGTATCGTTGAGAGTTAAGGGACAGTCAGAATTAAATTAACATTTAATTTTCTCACATTTTTTACCCCGTTTTTGTGGATATTTGGCAAATGATCAGTTCCCATTGTACAGCTGTCTGAGCAGCGGGGTATTCTATGGTCTCAAAATCATAGTAATCTCAATAGTTGTTGCTGCTGCTGCTGCCGCTGTTGCAACGATTTAGTTGCAGGCCACTTGTCATGCGAGGAGGCAGCCCCAACAGCAGCAACAGCAGCAGCAGGCTTCTCCTCCAGAGTTGCCTTGGCCAAGTCTTCAAATTGCCAGTTAGCCAATCTCCCGCTCTCTCTCTCTCGCTTATACCAAGCTCACCCGCCTCATCGCGCCCCCTCCCCACTAGACCCCCACTCCAAGCCAATGGCAAACAAACCTCTGCCCGTTGCCCTCTATCAACACCCCGCCTCATCTTGGGGCACATTGGCCACATTTTTGCAGTCGTCGAGTGGCTTTGTTAGCGATGCGGCGATTGCAACTTGTTCTGAGCCGAACTGGTAGCCTCCAAGAGGGAGGGAGAGGGAGCCGGGAGCTGAATCCAAAACTGGCCACTTTACAGAGCTCTGGTTGGGGCTGGACCCGCACTGCGTGTGACCAGCGAAGAGAAAGACGAGAATTGGAGAGGGAGAGAAGGAGACAGCACGCGGCAGAGGGAGCTGGGAGCTGGGAGATTGGGGCTAGAGAATTGCAATTTGAGGCGCAGCATCTGTGTGTGGGATTTCCAGTTGTTACAATTGTATTGCTGCCCCTGTTGTTGGGTGGCATTTGAAACAATTTGAGCTAATTTCTGTAAATTGTTGATCTTATCAGGCACTACGAATGCATACAAAAGGATGGCCACAAACGAAAGAATATCCAGGGATCACTCTGAAGTTCAAATGCAGCTCCAGCACTTGAAACTAAATAAGACACTTGATTGCACAGACAGCTTAGGGGGCTAAGTAGTATTGGCTAAAATTTAGGGGAAGACATCTGATATAGTTGAAGGACGAAGCGATTAAAAGAAAGAAAACCTTAGATGAGAGCATAAAGTTGGGTGCAAGGAAAATTGTAAAGAACATTTAGGTGGAGCTGTTGAACATTTTATTTAGAATTTATTTGTAGGCTAAGAATGTAAGAAAAAGATACAGACAAAAGGAGTAGAAGGTATATATTTTTTAAATTACTTCAAGTAACTTAATTCATATAAAATTCCAGCCCGTTTATGCTCTATCGAATTATGGAATATTTACTAAAATACCTGAACAACAAATCACAAAAATCTTCATATATTCATTGTGAGAAAAGAGAAGGTATAGCAATAAATATAAGAATAATTGCTGGTAAAATTGTTCAAATTATTTCAATTAATTGTCCTTGTAAAAGAAACCGAGTAGCGTAACTATTAAAAAATAATATATATATATGTATTATAATATAATATAAATAATTTAATCAGTCATCACTTTATATATACGAAAATATTTACTATACATATATTGCCATATAAACATTTATAACCGACGAATAAAATAAATAACTTTTCATTAAATAAACATAAAATATTGAATTGCGAATTACCATATTACCGACTAACCAACTGACGGTTAGATCATTGCAATCAGCGTTTGATATATGTATGAAATGGCGCAGAATCATTAAACTCACCTGAAAAGATAAGAAAAGAGAGAACCATATGAATATATGAATAATTTCCAGAAGGATCAAGGTCAAATCTGGTCAGATTGCAGCCCGGAAAACCCAAAACCAAACCCAAATCCAAACTTATTTTTATTCAAGACTATCTTTCATCTTCAAAGCTGGAAACAACAAAAGCAGCGACAACGACAACGAGAGCAACAACCAGCGGCAAAAGATGGTGGAAAAAACTTAACCCAATTCAATGAACATATCTATGTCAACATGGTTGTTGTTCTTGTTTGAGTGTTATCAGGCCATAAATGTTCTTAGCGCAAAAAAAAAAAGCAAAGAATTTAGAGAAGAAAGAGAGAGAGAGCGAGGGAGAGAGAGAGGGCGA